TCCAACAATTGTTTACAGACAGATTATTTCACTTATAATTCACTGTATCACAATTCCAGTGGGTCAGAAGTTTACATACACAAAGTTTCCAGAAAATGATGTCATGGCTTTATAAGCTTCTGATAGGCTAATTTACATCATTTGAGTCAATTGGAGGTGTACCTGTGGATGTATTTCAAGGCCTACCTTCAAACTCAGTGCCTCTTTGCTTGACATCTTGGGAAAATCAAAAGAAATCAGCCAAGACCTGAGAAAAACAATTGTACACCTCCACAAGTCTGGTTCATCCTTGGGAGCAATTTCCAAACGCCTGAAGGTATCACGTTAATCTGTACAAACAATAGTACGCAAGTATAAACACCATGGGACCACGCAGCCGTCATACCGCTCAGGAAGGAGACGCATTCTGTCTCCTAGAGATGAACGTACTTTGGTGCGAAAAGTGCAAATCAATCCCAGAACAACAGCAAAGGACCTTGTGAAGATGCTGGAGGAAACAGGTACAAAATTATCTATATCTACAGTAAAAGGAGTCCTATATCTAACTCTATCCTATATGTATTCAGGTTATGTCGATATTATTATTAATTTTTTAAAATTATTTCGCCTTTATTTAACTAGTTAAGCCAGTTGAGAACAAGTTCTCATTTACAACTGCGACCTGGCCGAGATAAAACAAAGCAGTGCGATTGTTTTTTAACACACTGCATTGTTTTATCTTGGCCAGGTCGCAGTTGTAAATGAGAACTTGTTCTCAACTGGCTTAACTAGTTAAATAAAGGCGAAAAATAATAATAATAATAATAATAATAATAATATCGACATAACCTGAAAGGCCGCTCAGCAAGGAAGAAGCCACTGCTCCAAAACCGCCATAAAAAAGCCAGACTACGGTTCGCAACTGCACATGGAGACAAAGATCGTACTTTTTGGAGAAATGTCCTCTGGTCTGATGAAACAAAAATAGAACTGTTTGGCCATAATGACAAATGTTATGTTTGGAGGAAAAAGGGGGTTGCTTGCAAGCCGAAGAACACCATCCCAACCGTGAAGCACGGGGGTGGCAGCATCATGCTGTGGGGGTGCTTTGCTGCAGGAGGGACTGGTGCACTTCACAAAATAGATGGCATCATGAGGAAGGAAAATTATGTGGATATACTGAACCAACATCTCAAGACATCAGTCAGGAAGTTAAAGCTTGGTCGCAAATGGGTCTTCCAAAAATGGACAATGACCCCAAGCATACTTCCAAAGTTGTGACAAAATGGCTTAAGGACATTAAAGTCAAGGTATTGGAGTGGCCATCACAAAGCCCTGACCTCAATCCTATAGAAAATGTGTGGGCAGAACTGAAAAAATGTGTGCGAGCAAGGCCTACATACCTGACTCAGTTACACCAGCTCTGTCAGGAGGAATGGGCCAAAATTCACCCAACTTATTGTGGGAAGCTTGTGGAAGGCTACCCGAAACGTTTGACCCAAGTTAAACAATTTAAAGGCAATGCTACCAAATACTAATTGGGTGTATGTAAACTTCTGACCCACTGGAAATGTGATGAAATAAATAAAAGCTGAAATATATAATTCTCTCTACTATTATTCTGACATTTTACATTGTTAAAATAAAGTGGTGATCCTAACTGACCTAAGACAGGGACTTTTTACTATGATTAAATGTCAGGAATTGTGAAAAACAGAGTTTAAATGTATTTGGCTAAGGTGTATGTAAACTTCCGACTTCAACTGTGAGAGAGAGAGAGGGAGAGAGAGAGAGAGAGAGAGAGAGAGAGAGAGAGAGAGAGAGAGAGAGAGAGAAGAGAAGAGAGAAGAGAAGACAGAGAAACAGACAGATACGAGACAGAGAGGATATCAGAGAGAGAGAGTGGACGAGATCTCCTCTCTCGCTCTTGCCTGCTCTCGGATCGCTCTCTTCCTCTCTATTACGCTCTCTCTTCTCATCGCTCGCTCTCTCTCTACTCCTCTCACCTAATCATAGTTCATGCTGGTTAAAAAGGCTAGTCGACAGCATCAGGAATAATACAAGAGGAGCTTTATTGAAGCTGTAACATTTATAATAATGTATCTTTTACAAACCAAAATAGAAACATAACTTAAGAGTGAGTGTTCCAGAGACGTTTCAATAGATAAAAGCCTGATTGGACTGTGACACATGTCGAAACTTAGCGTACTATAATTGTCATCCATATAATAGACTTGCTTCAAAAGTGTTGTGTATATAATTAATGTATCAGACACTCCTAACTTCAGTCTACATAACTGAAAGGACATGGAGCTCTAAATACAGTCAAGATAGCAGGAAATGGATTGATAACATTTGGTTGATGAAATCTGAGATCAGACAGACCACACAGACGGTGACTGTGCAGGAGGTCAGTACTTTGTGTCTTCTTTTGCAATATAGCAATAGTTCCTTATCTCAGTAGTCTCCTTTTCGCCAAACTTCAATGAACTTCTCTGGAATAAACTCGACTATGAAAAACAGTTTTCAGATATACCCAGCGTTTGCCAAAATACATACCAGTGCACTTAATAGAAGAGTAACATAAACTAACCTATACAATGATCTCCTGGTACTTTGAGAATGATTGGATAGTCTTAGACAAGTGGTAATAATTTCCCCCTCTTCCCATTCTTGTTAAAAACAAAATAGAACCTGATTGGACAAATCCATGTTTAGGTAACAGTCTGAGTGCATACACAAACACAACAAGGTATAAAAAAGTTACATAAAAATATGAGAATATTTGTACACAAAAACACAAACAACATTAAAATACCAAGACCCATCCTGAAGTACTATAATTGATGCAACTACAAGTATAAATTCAATCAAACTTGGATTTAATTAATAGCTTTGGGGCATAGCTATTATACTTTGTTTCAGAATGAGCACCCAACAGTTAAGTGAGAAAAACAGTGTGACAATCTCAGTTGATTACGTTAACAAACTCTGACTTCATGTTTTGAGCTTAAGACTAAAAAATGGAAGCACATTCAACATGCTTCAAGCTTTGAGAACATGCTTGCTGCTTTTAGAAAGTCCAATTAATGACATACGTTCAATTCAGAATGAACAAAACCATAAAATAGTTACAATACAAGGCCAGCAGAGACAAAAAAAGATATCTAAACAAACCTGTCTAATCACTGAAATAACAAACATGGGTGTGTATGCCAGAGATGGGAGATCTCAGGGAGACGTGGTGGAGCCTTTCATATAGAATAACAGCAATCACACCTCTGTAGATGACAAACTCACACGAACAGCCAATAGAAAAACAAAAAAGCTTTAGAATTTATTTTGCCTGTTCTGAAGTGCTCAATACTCAACACAGTGCCCCTAATCAAGCAATATTTTTTTTAGTCGAGCAGTAGCAAATATATATACTTTTGTTATGACACATGACACACCTGTCTTATTCGCACCCATCTCAGTGAACTAATCCATTGCGGAGGCCGAGACTAATCCATTGCGGAGGCCGCGGGGATGGCACAGTCCAAGTCTGTTTTTACATCCATTGAGAATGACAATTCCTCAATGTATTTGAAAAATCTTTCCAGCTCTCTCCCTTTAGATAACCACTCAGCGTGAAAGGGAAAAATGTCATGCTCTGATCCAGTGGAAAAGTCATAAAATAGGCCTACCTGATTACTTCTTATCCCTTGCACAAATAGCCTACAGCTGTGTCTCACCGGCTCACTGGCACGGGAAACTCTGAGGGCCCACAATATTTGATACAATGTTGCAAGGATCTTCAGGCAGGACCCAAGTTAATAGTTGATACAATGTTTCAAGTTCGTGGCAGACAGGCCATGCGTAGCCAATGTGATTTATAGGATATTTATTTTTATCAGGATATTTTCTACCTGCAGGCTGCAATGTTTTTATTTGTTGGCCTTATAGGCTATTTACATAGTTGGCAATGGCAATATAAGTTACTTTTTAGGTTTGAACCATTTTCATTTAGATTTGGATAGAATTTTGATTAACCACATGACAATGATTTTGAGATACGAAGATCTTATTATAAATGAAAACTGTTCCACGAAAATGTGCATATGAAAATCATAACTGGCACGCAGGTCGGTAGAAATGGTAAGATAAATTGGCGTTCCACATGAGAAAGTTTGCCAACTCCTCATGTAGCCTATTCCTGGCAAATTCAGGACAGTAACGGCATAATCTGCGAAGGCCAGTAGGAGCGGGAGGAGGATGGTCGGGACAGGTAAAGTAATTTTCTTCTTCTGGTCTATCTCTGGTTCTCTCTTGAGTAATTTGTGCTTATTTCATCAAACAGTACACTTAAAGCATCAGACAAGCTCAATGCATATATAGTTGATTTTATTAAAACACATAGGTTGTGTCTATATATGGAAAAATAAACGTTTACAAATTTTGACCAATGTATTGGTCGAAAGAACAGACGCCTTTCGGTCGACCAAGATTTACCCAATTTACTTAACAGCTAAAAAGAAGAAGAACCATTGTTCCCCAGAGGTTTAGAAAGTCAAATAATGGTACCATATTGTGTTTTAACACAATCAAACAGTTAATTATTTCAGATGGATCAGTGTTTTTCCACACCTGAAAAAGTAGCAGAAGCTGAATCACATTCACGTGCAAACACACGTGCACACAATGCCCAGTTGAACTAAGGTGGGATGTTTTATAGGCCTGGCTGATAGAATTCGCTGTGCAAGCAGACACAAGGTTACATTCTATAAAAAATATTCTGAACCTGCATACTTACACTTGCCTACTGCCCAATTTTTTTTTAACAACAATAGAACACTTTCTCATTCTAAAACCCACTAAACATCTTAGAGTGATATGCTTTTCAAGGACTCAAAAATACACCCATCTTGACCACTGAATTGAAATCAAAACTTCCAAGGTGGTGACATTTCCATCAATAAATAGCTTCAGTGGCATTTGATGTGTCTTGTGTTTATACAAGTATTACATTATTGGTCAAGACCTTATTTACTGCTGCTCTGATTGGTCACAACTCTCTTCTCTATCACCACCTTGCGGGTGGAGGAGGCGGGGCTTTTACTGACACTGCTGGAGGACCCATTCAATCCCACAATGCCGCTCTGTGAGCCTGCGCTGGACTCTGCGGCTGAGCTCTGCTCTGTGGTGTAGAGGACTCTGTGTGAGCCAGAGAGGCCGCTCCTCTGCTTGGACCCCTGGGAGAACCCTGACACCCCTCCCTGGACTTTCTGCAACCCACTACCTCTGCTGCTACCCCCCTGTCCCTCAATCACCAGCATGCTCTGTGACCCTGATAAGCCCCCTCGCTGCAGGGAGCCCCCCTGTTGCAGCCAGGCCTGACCCCCCTGAAGGACCTGACCCCCTTGTACCAACTGCCCCCCCTGAAGAACTTGCCCTCCCTGAAGAACTTGCCCCCCCTGCAGCATTTGCCCACCTTGCAGCATCTGCCCCCCCTGCATCACCGGACCATCCACCACCATCATACCCTGAGAACCAGACATGTTCCCTATATGGATCAGGCCTCCCTCCAACCCTCCGTGGCCTCCAGCCCCACTCCTCTCCAACACCACCATGCCTCCCTCTCCCCTGCCAAGGGTGCCCTGAGCCTGGGTACCGGTCACCACCTGCTGCGCCTGCAGCACCAGGCCCTGGGCCGAGCCTGACGGAGGCCCGTTGACCATTATCATGCCCTGCATGTTGGGAACCTGTTGCTCCACTACATAGTGCATCTGCTGCATCTTGGGCTGCATCATAGGCTGCATGGTGGTGTAGTACATAGGCTGCTGCTGCAGTAGGAAGGTCTGGCCCTGGCTTCCTCCCACTATGTCCTGCCTCAGAGTAGCCGACCGATCTGAACGATCTGACTCCCTCACCACAGCCCTCTCTATGTGTGTCACCTGGGCCGGGGCAGGGGGCGGTGCTGGGGCTGGGACCGGGGCGGCGGAAACCACTCTGGACGCCACATTGGTCGTCACACTGCTGGCTGCTGTTGGCATGGAGATGACGGGTCTGGGTGGCGGAGGGGCGGAGACTTCGGTTTGGAACCTCTCCCCGCGGCACACCTCGGCCAGGGTCTTGAACTTTGGCCCCAGGTCATTGAGGAACTGGAGGTCATTGTCAGATTCCAGGAGGCTGCAGCATCCCACCGAGCCCACAGGAGAGCCCTGACCCTCATAGTCATACACCAACATACTGTCCTTCTGGACGTGGTTCTCAGCTGCACAGTGAGCTTTCTGCAAATACAACATAGACCCACACAGACACACGTTACAATACAGACATCACTTAACTCCGCCACCTGCCGCCATTCAATACACCATACATTCAGTGTATATAGATGGTTTAGCTGACAACGTCACAAAAATGATGTGCACGCTTCAATGGGGCAGAAGTCCGTGAGTTCTTGTGATTCTGGATGGCCAGATAGCTACCAATAATGACAAGAAACTGCCATGTGGGGAATCGTAAGTGACTTGTTTCAGCTAGTTTCATCTTGTTTCTAATACCATCTTGTTTTGAGGTGTTTTGACTGATTTCATGTCAATGCTAATATGGCAAAAAAATTGCTAGCTAGCTAACCAACAACTGCGATGATGTATTTGACAGACAACAAGTGCTCATTGTGCAAATGTATTTATGTCATTATTTAACATTGAAGATGTAATATAGTTCACATGTTGTCAACAATCTAGGCCAACCCAGTCTGTTTTTCCCCATAGTTGTGCACGTGTCGGTTTTGTTGCTAAACAACCAACCCATCTATTCTACCAGTTTTTTATACACACAACCTTTCATGTATGGACACTGTATTTCTATTTGTGCTCCCTACTCCATGTTGATGCACAATCCCCTGACCGGACTGTCAGAGGGTGGATCTATTTTCTGCCTCCTCACCTGAGAGTAGTACTCCTCCAGGTAGTGATCAGGCAGGGCGATGCCTTCATAGGCTCCTCCTCCCTCTCTGCTCTCATACTCAGAGTAAAAGGCCCCTCCTTGCTCCTGGCCAATCATCTCTCCTCCATTCATATATCCCAGCTCCATACGGCCGTCTGAGTGGTAGAATCCCCCCCCCATCGTGGAGGAGGAGTTCTGGAACTGACCACCAACCATCATAAGCCCCGCCCCTCCGGCCGTTGCTGCTATGGTTCCCGCGGTGGCCATTTTGACCCTTCCTGTGTCGACCTGAACTGGTGCGTTCAGCAGAGGCACTTCCTGTAAGAGGTCAGAGGGTTTAAAACAGATTGCTGTGATATCTTGGACCATTAACCCCAACGAGAAACATACGACCATAGTGGAATCATTCACACAAAAGATTATCTGTGACCACGCACGCACACACACACACCCTTCTTTCCCCTTCTTACCGTGTTCTCCCCCTGTCCCTCAGTGTGGTAGGAGATGAGTTGTGCCTTGGCGTCAAAGGGCATCTCAGTGAAGCCCCCTGGAAGACCTCCGGCACCCCCACACTTACAGAACAACAGCAGGAGAGGGATCACTGTGGAGACACGACAATGAGAGGGAGTTAGACAATACGTAAGAGTAGCAGCTTCAATGAAAAACAGAGAGCTATGACAGAGCTACGGCCTACCATTAGTCGGCATAAGCAAGCAAGCAAGAGTAGGGCTGATACTGACTATACAGTGAGCTCCAAAAGTATTGGGACAGTGATACATTTTGTGTTGTTTTGGCTCTGTACTGAAATGATAGAATGACTATGAGGTTAAAGTGTAAACTGTCAGCTGTAATTTGAGGGTATTTTCATCCATATCAGGTGAACCCTTTAGAAATTACAGCACTTTTTGTTCATAGCCCCCCATTTTAGGGGACCAAAAGTATTGGGACAAATTCACTTATGTGTACTAAAATAGTAAAAGGTTATGTATTTCGACCCATATTCATAGTACGCAATGAATGACATACATCAAGCTTGTGACTCTACAAATTTGTTGGATGCATTTGCTATTTGTTTTGGTTGCGTTTCAGATTATTTGGTGCCCAATAGAAATTAAAGGTAAATAATGTATTGTGTCATTTTGGAGTTGCTTTTATTGTAAATAAGAATAGAATATGTTTCTAAACACTTCTACATTAATGTGAATGCTACCATGTCTACGGATAATCCTGAATTAATCGTGAATAATGATGAGTGAGAAAGTTACAGAGGCATAAATATCATACCCCCCCATAAAGGCTAACCTCCCCTGTTATTGTAATGGTGTGAGGTTAGCATGTCATGGGGGTATGATATTTGTGAGTCAGTAACTTTCACACTCATCGTTATTCATGATTCATTCAGGATGATCCGTAATCACAGCCTGGTCTCATAGACTAGACGTAACATAGTAAATGTAAATCCACTCACTGTACACTACCGGTCAAAAGTTTTAGAACACCTAGTCATTCAAGGGTTTTTCTTTATTTCTACTGTTTTCTACATTGTAGAATAATAGTGAAGACAACAAACTATGAAATAACACATATGGAATCATGAATTAACCAAAAAAGTTTAACAAATCAAAATATATTTTATATTTGAGATTCTTCAAATAGCCACCCTTTGCCTTGATTACAGCTTTGCACACACTTGGCATTCTCTCAACCAGCTTCACCTGGAATGCTTTTCCAACAGTCTTGAAGGAGTTCCCACATATGCTGAGCACTTGTTGGCTGCTTTTCCTTCACTCTGCGGTCCGACTCATCCCAAACCATCTCAATTTGGTTGAGGTCGGGGGATTGTGGAGGCCAGGTCATCTGATGCAGCACTCCATCACTCTCCTTCTTGGTCAAATAGCCCTTAGACAGCCTGGAGGTGTGTTGGGTCAATGTCTTGTTGAAAAACAAATGATAGTCCCACTAAGCCCAAACCAGATGGGATGGCGTATCGCTGCAGAATGCTGTGGTAGCCATGCTGGTTAAGTGTGCCTTGAATTCTAAATAAATCACAGACAGTGTCTGCAGCAGAGGTAACTCTGGGTCTTCCATTCCTGTGGTGGTCCTCATGAGAGCCAGTTTCATCATAGTGCTTGGTGGTTTTTGCGACTGCACTTGAAGAAACTTTAAAAGTTCTTGAAATGTTCCGTATTGACTGACCTTCATGTCTTAAAGTAATGATGGAGTGTCATTTCTCTTTGCTTATTTGAGCTGTTCTTGCCATAATGTGGACTTGGTCTTTTACCAAATAGGGCTATCTTCTGTATACCCCCCTACCTTGTCACAACACAAGTGATTGGCTCAAACGCATTAAGAAGGAAATACATTCCACAAATGAACTTTTAAGAAGGCACTCCTGTTAATTGAAATGCATTCCAGGTGACTACCTCATGAAGCTGGTTGAGAGAATGCCAAGAGTGTGCAAAGCTGTCATCAAGGCAAAGGGTGGCTGTTTGAAGAATCTCAAATATAAAATATATTTTGATTTGTTTAACACTTTTTTGGTTACTACATGATTCCATATGTGTAATTTCATAGTTTTGATGTCTTCACTATTATTCTACAATGTAGAAAATAGTAAAAATAAAGAAAAACCCTTGAATGTGTAGGTGTTCTAAAACTTTTGACCGGTAGTGTACAATACTAATTTACAAATGTAGCAGGAGACCAACTACTTTTTTGTTTATACCATATGATTTGGTTAAAGTGAGTGGTTTCCAAAATACACTGAAAAAATATGTAAACGCAACATGCAACAATTTAAAAGATTTTTACTGATTTAAAGTTCATATAAGAAAATCAGTCAATAGAAATACATTCATTAGGCCCTAATCTATGGATTTCACATGACTGGGCAGGGGCGCAGCCATGGGTGAGCCTGGGAGGGCATAGGCCTACCCACTTAGGAGCCTGGCCCACCCATTGGGGAGCCAGGGCCCAGCCAATCAGAATGACTCAGCACCCCCTCCCCCCCTCAGACGATCCCGCAGGTGAAGAGGTTGGATGTGGTGGTCCTGGGCTGGCGTGGTCTGTGGTTGTGAGGCCGGTTGGACTGCCAAATTCTCAACAATTACTTTGGAGGCGACTAATGGTAGAGAAATGAACATTACATTCTCTGGCAACAGCTCTGGTGGACATTCCTGCAGTCAGCATGCCAATTGCGTTGTGTGACAAAACTGCACATTTTAAAGTGGCCTTTTATTGTCCCCAGCACAAGGTGCACCTGTGTAATGGACATTGCCATTGAGCACTTCCACCATGCTTCGGCCATTTTAAAGTAGTCAACTGGGTGGGGATTCCTATGGGTTGTAGCCTCAATGGCGCTGCCCATGCTGTCACAGACACTATAATGGCACAGATACAAAGATGAGTCCTCTATCTATCTCTATGGTACCAGAATATTTAAGAGGATCGGCCTGACTGAGCAAGGCTCTGAGCAGAATCACTGGTCTACAATACAAATCACCTTGCATCCCAAATAGCTTCTCATAATATGATTAAGATCAGTGAATCTGTGCCTTGCTCAGGCAATCACGATCCCCTCGATGACTAACTCTAACTCTAACCATGTCACAATGATGACTTTGATTTTCTCACTATTGTAGACATTGATGAACCCAGTTGGTCAAAAGATTTGTCTTGAAAATATGGAGTACATTTCCTTTGTTTCACTGCAAATCCCTGAATGCGTTCTTCCTTTTCTTCTTCTAGATGATGAAATCATACTCACGCAGTAGCATCAGCAGACCCAGGAAGAGCAGTCCGAGTGCTGCAGGCCCTAGCACTGCCCCGGTAGAGCCCTTATCTCCTCGTGTGGCGCACGCCTTCCCAATGTCTGTACACGTGCAGACATCTACCTTTAGCTTCTGCAGGTCGGGACACGCGTGCCCCTGCTGGTCGCGGATCTCCATGGCAACTGCGTAGGAGCCCGGCCACAAATCTTGGGACCTCAGGATGGTCGAGGTGTCTGTAGGGTCAGAGGTTAGACATAAACACAGTCAGACATGAGACACATTGTCAGATAGATATACTGTATCTGTCTGGGGACTGGGACCACAACATGGACGGTATCACTTTCCTTACTGATCTCTATGACTAAGGAAATAGGCATGTCACTGTGTGTCACTATCAGGAAGAGGTGATGTGATATGCTTGGCTATGCTACCACTCTGTGTAGCTCTTCTTGGTTATTAGCCTAAATAACCCTAATGGTTTTATTGTGTGCTATCACCATCTTATTCCCTCAGTAGGAACTCCATGCTCCAGGCCCCTCACCGTTTAGATGCTCGACCACCCACACTCCCTCTGTTCCCTCTGGGATGATGGTGAAGGTGAAGGGGGCACCGTTGGGGAACGCATCCTTGTCCACTGCGGTCACGGTAACAGCATTGGCTGTCATACACATGGTCTGAACATTACTGGTCAGCGTGGGGCAGTGGTCGTTAAAGTCCTCCACCTGGATGGCTACCGTACCCGTGGCTGTCTTAGAGGGCATGTCTGAACAGAGTAAGAGAGCGACAATCAATCAATCAGTCAGTCAGTTAATCAATCAATCAAATGTATTTATAAAGTCATAGAAAGTAAGTGTACCCAAAAGCGCTTCAGCCCAGCTTGAACAAAAGGTAATCAGATGCTCGATTGAGGGACTTGTTTTATAAAGCCCTTTTTTCCATCAGTAGCTGTCACAAAGTGACAGAGACAACACAGACACTCAGGAATACGGAAGAAGATAGTTCAGGGAGGCAACCCATTTCTGATTTTGACAGTTGTCATCCACATTGTTATTTGTTATGAGTGAAAGCTTTGTACTCCTGTTAAGTGACGGTGCTTTAGCCCCCTCTGCTGGGGTTAAAGAGTACTACAACAACCCTGCTTGTAGGGTGCTACCCAATGACATATATATAAATCATCGGTGCTACCCCCTGTTGGTGGAAACAGAGTACTACAGCTCGTCTGCTCGTGAGACTGGTCTGCTCCCACTTGTTGCGAGTTCGAATCTCATCACACACAACTTTTGATTTTAGCAACTTTTCAACTACTTATTTAGCTACTTTGCAACTACTTAGCATGTTAACTTCCCCTTCCCCTAACCTTAAACCTTTTAGCTAACCCTTCCCCTAATCTTAACCCTTTAACCTAACTCCTAAACTTAACCCTAAGGCCTAGCCTAGCTAACGTTAGCCACCTGGCCACCTAGTTAGAATTCGTAACATATCATACGTTTAGCAAATTAGTAACATGTATTGCACATTCGGCACATATAATACTAGTAACAGAGACAACACAGACACTCAGTAATAGGGAAGGTGATAGTTAAAGGAGGCAACCCATTTCTGATTTTGACAGTTGTCATCCACATTGTTCTTTGTTATGAGTGAAAGCTGTGTACTCCTGTTTAGTGGTGGCACTTTAGCCCCCTCTGCTGGGATTAAAGAGTACTACAACAACCCTGCTTGTAGGGTGCTACCACAGATAGAACAATGAGACAGATATTTCACCAGATGTAAAGTGAAGCATCCACTTGGCGTTACCACTCACTACCAAATATGGTAGTGAGAGGGAGCCCAGTGGCCGGCAGTGGGAGACAATGGAATGACATGGATTTTGGCCAACATTCTGCACATTTTCACATCGATGAAACATTTGATGTCAATACAGTTTTCTGTTCCCAAAACTCGAATCTGTTACGAACAGAGTGGACAACGTTTTGAAGACTTTACCCTTTGCCAAAGTTTTTTTTAAATGGCGTTGTTTAGAAGGAGTGCAAAGGCGAATTGAGTTATTGCAAACGCACACTTCACAGAGTAGGCATTCCCTAACGGAAATCTGTAAATACGTGCTAGAACGCGCCAATAGGATCTCGCTAGCTCGTGCTTGGCTCTGCCCACCTTCTTGCTTGTTCTGCCCACTATCACTCATTTGTTCCGGTTTGAAACGACAGGCTGTGGTCTATCTTGGTTTAGTTATACAAATCTTTGGTGCTACCCCCTGTTGGTGGAAACAGAGTACTACAGCTAATCTGCCTGTGAGGCTGGTCTCCTCCCTCTGCTGGTGTAAAGCTGTACTGCTCCAGTTTGTTCGACAGCCCAGAGGTACAAGTTTATGAGTGGTGTGAAACATAACACAACATAAACCTATCATATAGATCTATTAATCAAATCCTTGACTACAGTACTGCACATCAGATCTAGTGTCAGTCTGTTTGTGCTATCATGTTTATTTTTTAAATATATTATTTATTTAACCTTTATGTCACCTCCTTGTCACTCATTGTCATGCCAAACATGACATGAAATGTTTGGCTTGACAAGGACAGCAATGGGACCAGGCTACATCCGGTCAGCCTTGATGTATGGATTATGGAGTATAAGCATAATCCAAGGCTATAAGGACACAAGAGGGTACTCTCCTCTATTGTCAGTGCTTAGAAGAGCCACAGAACACGGATAGTGTTACAAGTTAGGATTCAGGCTAATGTTATATTATCTTGTGCTATGTAGAATAGATTGTGGTAATAGATCATGTTATTTCATTCATAAATGCTACAGAAGGCTATAGACTAACTAGTTCAACTTGAGTTATGCCTGTTATCTAACATATGTGACAACTTTGTGACAACTACTGATGGAAAAAAGGCCTTTATAAATCCAAAAACATTCCTTACCCCAGGACACTTCAACGGGTGACTATCCAGGGAGAATAAAGAAAAAGAAGCCCTCTGTTTCTGCATAGATCTGATAGATTTATTAACGGGATAAACAAACAGTCCAATTTGTAAGTCGCTCTGGATAAGAGCGTCTGCTAAATGACATAAATGTAAATGTAAAATGTCCTATACATAGGTAGCAGATGTGATGAGGTAGCCCTCCGTGTAACTTCAAAATCAGTGTCACCCTCGGGCCAAGATGGAATTTCATATTGCACTCGCTAACTGTTAAGATTTTGGTTTCTCCCGTGGGAGACCCAGGTTCAGATCTTGTCCGTGACACATTGACATTCAATACATGGTGTTGTGTGTCAAGGCTAAGAAGCTAACTGCCAAGAGGCTGAACTAGCTTACCTTGGGTCATGCAGAGAATCTTGGCGTAGTATGTCCCGTTGACCAGGAACTTGGACTCTCTGTCAGGCATCTTATTGAGTTTAATATCGCCAGTCAACTCATCAATGGTCAGCCAGTTGTCTGGGTCAGAGCCCTTAGCATACCTACATCAGGAAAAACAGGGACAGTGGTTAATGCTTTGGTCCAAACATACGTTGAGCATTGAACTGATGCATATCAGATGGGGTTTGTGTATTTGAGCTCAACAGATCAGACTAATGTGTGCTGTGTGTGTGTAAGTGTGTGTATGCGAGCCACTACAGACCTGACGTTCTGTGCAGGCATCCGTGTGTCTCCGTCGATGGCAGGGTAGGAGCCGATCACCGTGTTGATCTTGAAGTCTCCTCCCTCTGAGATGGGGATAGCCTTGACCTTGGGGTCGAAGCGTGGCCCCTCTGGCTGGTTCTTCACAGCGATCTTCACTGGGTAGGTCTTCCATGTAGAACCTCCACCACCAGACCACAATCCTCCACCTCCTCCACCTGCTCCTCCTCCTCCTCCTCCTCCTCCTCCTCCTCCTCCTCCTCCTCCTCCTCCTCCTCCTCCTCCTGCCCCACTTCCTGCCCCTCCTCCTGAAGCCCATCCTCCTCCACCCCCTCCTCCTCCTCCTCCACCATTATAGGGTGGAGCCTGGTTAGCTACGGCTATTCCCAGCTCAAGGTTTTTGACGTCTTCATAGTCTACACCCTAATGGATGGAAGAAACAAAAAGGCACATGTAAACAGTGCAGAAAAAGAAGGGAGAAAATGTGTGTGTAGGTGCAACGGTGAGCCTATGAATGCATTTGGGTTTATGCATCTGTGTGTGTTTGTGTATACAATATATCTGTGAATGTATGACTGTGCAGTGTGATAGAGCTCACGCCGTACCTTCCTGAGCATCAGAACTCCCTCGTTTGTCTTGGGGTCTGTCTCAATGCTGAAGTAGCCAGCCTCGTTGCCCTTGACGATTTCAAACTGAGCCACCCAGTTAGGAGTGTTCACCAAGTCCCTGTCCTCCACCTTGAACCTCATCACCTCCACGTTCTCTGTGTTCTCCTCAATACTGCCCTCATACTGCAGAACCACACAAAGAGTATCAGACATTACATCAGCCTCTACTGTCCTAATACTATACAAAGGGGGAGTAATATGAAAATGTATGCACTCACTAACTGTAAGTCGCTCTGGATAAGAGCGTCTGCTAAATGACAAAAATGTAAATGTAATATTAACCTGGTCCTAGATCTGTGTATGTGCTAGTCAACACCTCTGACTAGCATAGCCAGTTATCATTGTCTTACGACAGATGGCACCATTACAAAGCAACGCATTTCCATGAACAGTGGAGATGGAGTCTCATCATCTGACGTGAGACAATGAGACAATTATATTATACAGATCTGGGATCAGGCTGGAGTAGGCTGTTGGTAAAGCACATACAGATCTGGGATCAGGCTGATGGAGTAATGTTCTACATACCTCATCTTTCTCCAGAGTGGGAGGGTTGTCGTTCACATCCTTGATGTTGACTCTAAAGGTTCCGGTGCCGGTGTTGCCCTCTGGTCTACCGTTCAGATCTGTACCTTTCACTGTCAGCGTGTACCAGCCCTGCACCTAGAAAACAGATCAAAATAGATAAAAACTGAGTGTCTAATAACAATCTGTCTACTAAAAACACAATTGTTTAATGTTATTTTAAATCAAAGTACACACTGCCCCCTTATGGTAGAAACCATGAATTAGACTGTTTATGAGAGCTTGTTGGTCTGGTATTCGTGCTGATTAGTTACTGAGTTATCTGTCTTTCACATGCATTTTGTATTCTGACAGTACATATCTGTCAAAAATATGGGTGACGATGCTGTATGTACCTCTCTGTCCAGTGTGGGCCGTTTTACTTTGAGGTCTCCTTCTCTGGTGATGTAGAACATGTCGTCTCCTGGAGGCTTCTGATTAATTAAGGTGTAGGCAATCTGAGAGTTCTCATTCCCTGGTTCGTCAGCGTCTGTCGCAGCCACCTTCATGACGAAAGTGTCTACAGACACAGAAAAAAACTGTCATCAACACTGATATCTCTACTAATGTTCATCAAATAACATTTCCCCAGGACATTTTAAAAACATTCATGGGATGTTGTCATGCTATCATTAATCTTGGCAACCCAGAACGAAAATCTTGCACCAGCTACTCGATTATGTGTCACGTTGTCTGTCCATGAGAGACTATGCTGCCATTAGCTGGAAACCACATTGGGATTGCATTGGCACATTCCCATTGTAGGAACATTCACTGTTTTCTAGGGGAAGCTGTAAACATTTTACATTTGAATAATTTAGCAGACACTCTTAAAAACAGAGCGAACTACTTTCCCAGAGGAAGTCCTTGATTTATTGACAAACACTTGCCTTTTGGGCTGAGCTCGAACACCTCTCCTGGTTTAATATCACCGAACACAGGAGGGTTGTCATTTTGATCCACAACTTGGATCCTCAAATCAATGTTCTTCTCTGCTTCTCTGCCATCAGTGAACTTAGCGGTGCCTGTCAACTGAAGAGAAGAAACCATCATCATCATCATCTTCATGATCTATCTATCTATCCATCTATCCATCTATCCATCTATCTATCCATCCATCCATCCATCCATCCATAAACCAAAGGACATCATACATTACAGCAGTACTAATATACCTGTGCTATATCTGCAGTTATTTGGCTCTGCTGTAGGTGTGATACTCACATTGTACATGGCGATAATCTCCCGGTTCAGGATACCACTGATGCGTACAAAGCCGGTGTCAGGGTTCACTGTGAACAGGTGTAAGGGGTATTTAGAAGCTCCCACCCCATTTAGAGAGTACTGCACATTACCAGTCCCATCATCTGAATCTGACCGGATCTGAAACACAGACACACAGATCAGAGGAGTGAGTCGACACAAACACAAAATACAACAAACATGACAGCAATATTAACATTGCTAGCGACGAGAGACATGTATTTAGAGAGTTGGGCAAATGCGGTTTCTGCATTATGCTGCATTTACATGACACTACAACATTATATGGCAGCCATGTTAGCTCCCCATTAACATTACATCAGGAATATCTAATCAATGCTATGTAACTGAATGTCTAGAATTAGAACAATATTCTAAATTCTAAAAGTTGGCTTAACTCTCTAAATATATGGCTCTCCTAGCGACCAATTGCACCTCCGCCATGTGGCATTACCTTGGCGATAAACTCTTTCTTGGTGTAGTCTACATTTTCTTCTAGTTTCTGTGGTGGGATGATCCATTCCCTCTTGTGTCTCCTTAGCCCATCAGAGCGACGTGCCTCCACCACAGCCACAGACACTAAAACCTGCTTTTCACAAAACAAAATACATCAATGGTTACTATCATGGATAACAGTGACATAGCATTAGCTAAAACACCAATCACCTCACCCACCCCATCCACTATCAATGTGTCCGGAATATATTGACTGATTGCTCCTCCTTCTCAAGCCTTCATAATTCAGTCAGGTCTTCCAAATGGTAAAGACTTGGCAGAAATATACTTTATGCTGATGTTTTTCAGAGGCGGAGAGAGAGAAAGAAAGAAAGTTAAAAAGAGAGAGAGAAAGAGAGAGAGAGAAAGAGAACATTCCCAGGTGAGGTTGTCCGAGAGAACATAGTTGGGCAAAGACAACAACAGACACATCAAAAGTGATTTGCGGGAAGTGCAGACTTGAATTGTAATAAAAACATAAGCGGGTGGGGAATTCCTCCTTTAAGACTGAAACTATAAGCACCATTATCTGAGCACACTACCCCCACAACTGGACTGTGTTCATCACACAGGAAAGCCTAGTCATTTATAAGTCGGTCTGGTATCAAACCTAGTCACCGGGTCATATTCACTAGACACCAAATAGAAAAAAATTGACCAAAACTGGGTCGGACTACACGTTCTGCTACATTTTGCACTAATGAATACAGCCAAGGTCTCCCCATGCCCTTATCTCTGGTTCCTCAGTAGAGACACACTGTACTGATACTCAGCTTTGGGCTGTATTCTTTGTCATGTCTATCATGTGCCTTCAGATATACCACCTACATAACAAGTCCATCATCATCATTAACTGCAGGCTTTGGTAAAGTCAAACCAAGCTTTGGAGTAACTAACAACTCCACTTGTATTACGTTTCTCTAGATCAGTGTATCTCAATTTCTAGTCCATGGACTAGCACTGGTGCCTGGTATATTTTTTACCTTACAGTCTCACATTTTAGTTTGGGGTCCTGGTATAGGAAGAGCCATATAGCTTGCCAGTCCCTGTTATACAAAAGGTAGAAACATTGTTGTATGTCACTCTCCTGTTGTGAGTAACTCTTTAATCTGTCTTTCAAACACTCAGGTTCCATGAGTTTACTGTGACTTGTAATTAACCTAAACTAGAACTTAAAGCTGTTATACAGTGTACGTCCTAAACCAACTTAAGAACTGAGGCATAACTCTGAAAGCAGCGAGACCGTGTCAAGCCTACTGCAGACCCACCCAGCCAACCACTCCTAATTAAAGAATAGTTATTGTAGCTAAGCCCGCAAGGAGGAGTATGAACCTGTATGTAATAATGGGTGGGCACATGAGAACAAAAGATGAATAAGGACTGGCAAAACCCGCATGCCAAATGGCATCCTATTCTCTATATAGTGCACTACTTTTGGCCAGAGCCCTATGTGAGCCCTATAGGCCCTGGTCAAAAGTAGTGCACTAAATAGGGAATAGGATTCCATTTGGCATGCACATAACATGTTTGCCAAATAGCCCTGTGGTTGAAATGACCAACGAGCTTTGACAGCCAGGTCATCGTCAACATGAAACTGTTGTCACTAGTTACCACAGCCATAAAATCATAATTATGGCTATACCCTGCGTATTTCTACAATTTATCTTCTTAAAATCTGATTTTAAACTTAACCATAACCCTAATATTAACCACAATGTTAACCTTATGCCTAACCTTAAATTAAGACCAAAGAGTTAATTGTTGTTTTCATGAATTTTTACAATTTTATTTTTTTACATTTTTAGTCATTTAGCAGACGCTCTTATCCAGAGCGACTTACAGTTAGTGAATAGATTATTATAATTGTTTTATACTGGCCCCCCGTGGGAATCGAACCCACAACCCTGGCGTTGCAAACGCCGTGCTCTATCAACTGAGCTACATCCCTGCCGGCCATTCCCTCCCCTACCCTGGACGACGCTGGGCCAATTGTGCGCCGCCCATGAGTCTCCCGGTCGCGGCCGGCTGCGACAGAGCCTGGATTCGAACCAGGATCTCTAGTGGCACAGTTAGCACAGCGATGCAGTGCCTTAGACCACTGCGCCACTCAGGAGGCCACTGCGCCACTCAGGCCTAGCCAATTTTGACTTTGTGCTTGTGGTAACTAGTAACAACCACATGAAGTCAAATTCATGCCTTTTAAAGAACATTTGAGCGAATTCTGTAGAAATACTGTTTTCTATAATTTACAAGGTTAGGCTAGTTCCACTATATCTCTCAGCTGTGATCCGCAGCCATGATACACACCCAAAACCCACTGGGCACACACTGGTTGAATCAACATAGTTTCCACATCATTTCAATGAAATTACGTTGAACCAACGTGGAATAAACGTTGAATTCACATCTGTGCCCAGTGGGATGGTTCTGCAGGGTTGTCACTAGTTACCACAACCACAAAGTCATAAACATTTTTACTTTTTTTTTTTACGCTCTTATCCAGAGTGACTTACAGTTAGTGAGTGTATACATTTCTACAATTTCTTTCTTAAAATGTTAATTTAAACCTAACCTTAACCACACTGCTAACCTTATGCCAAACCATAACCTTAAATTCAGACCAAAAAGCTATTATTTGTTTTCAGGAATTCTTATGATAGGCCTATAGCCAATTTTGATGGAAACCGTTCTGAGAACGCCATTTTCAAAATGTATTGTAGTAGGCCTTATTTATATTTCAAAACCCCTTTCAAGCAGTGCTCTCAAAATGAAAGGGCTTCTTTCTCACTGTCATGAGAGAGATCAATGTTACCATGACACCTGTGTATATGCAAATAACACAATTTTGGGCATTGTCTCCTTTTTATGGTGGTTCTGGCTCGACCAGAGGGTTATAACTTAGTAGCATGTCAGTCCTATGTGACTGTAAAGGTTATGGGCTCTTGATTGACTGGGTTATATGCCTAACCACCTGAAATGTGTGGCCTGAAGATTATAAGGTAATAGCCTAATGTCAATATTCGTTAGAAGAGTAACATATATTTATGTTGTAACCTCTGTAAGATAATAATTGTATAGGGCTACAGAAAGAAGTTGTGCGCTTGTGGACCGTCATTATCCCTTTAATAGCCGCTGAGTTGTGTTCACTTGTCTCGCGCATATTTGACGGGTAGGCAGTCACCTTTCGGTCCAATTTGCCATTCTTGCTCGACATGACATTTATAATAGTGTTTATTACACAACTACTTTGTATTTTTAATAACGGCCCACCCTGGGAGCGAGATGAGACTGCTTATGATTTATAAACTGAAAAGGCAAGGAATATAAATGTATTTAACAACTAGCTAGGCTACCAGTAGCCTACTACAGTCAAGCATTTCCGTAAGGTTTTGAGTGTCAGAACGCCCATGTCCGAACGAACAAAAAACGAATACCAACGACAAAAGTGTAAAATTCACAGTGTTGGGTAGTAATTAAACTACATTTTGCAGTAGTAGTGTTAGTTTAACTAAATTATCATCTTGGTAGTGTTTTCAGTAGGTCTAGTTAATTACTTTTTGACATGTAGCGTGTAGCTAACTACTGAAACTATGTACACTATTTTTTTTGCAAATAATAAAATAACATTACATTTACATTTTAGCAGACGCTCTTATCCAGAGCGACTTACAGGAGCAATTAGGGTTAAGTGCCTTGCTTAAGGGCACATCGACAGATTTTTCACATAGTCGGCTCGGGGATTAGAACCAGCGACCTTTCGGTTACTGGCACAACGCTCTTACCCACTAAGCTACCTGCCGCCCATATCGGTGAAGTAGGCAAGAATGTCCTTTCTTTTTCGCCATCAGACCTGCCTATAGCCTAATTCTCACTTGAAACATCGTTTTTGTGTTTAATAGGATAAATGACAGATTCTGATCACATCTAACTACATAGTGATCTGTTCATGCAATTTGTATTATATGACATTTCAAATTTAGATAAGATAATTTTTCACAAAGTAGCAATATTTTTCTTAAGGTTAGCTTTAGTTTAGCTTAACTTCTTCCATTGTGAAGTAATTGGTAGCGGGTAAACTATATTTTCAAAGTAGCTTCCCCAACACAAAAAAAAATTATCATTAAAAAACAACGCCTCCGCGGGCAACGTCAAATAAGATAACTCACCGTGAATGCAAGTAGCAAAAGAGCAGCGGCGGGCAAAGAAACCCGATTCATGACCGGAAGAATGTCCCAAAATCCAAACACCTGAGCTAGAATCCTAGGTATATCCACAAGCGAGTCCTCGGCGTTATAATAGCGGACGCGGGTGAGAGACTTCTTTCAGTGCACTGTTGATGTACTGTAATTTAAGGCGGTGCCTCCTCTCTCTTCTATGGTTGGCTGGTGACACCACATCCACACCCTCACCTGGGGTAAGGGGAGGAAGTGTCTCTCTCACTCTGTGTGTGTGTGTGTGTGTGTGTGTGTGTGTGTGTGTGTGTGTGTGTGTGAAAGAGAGAGAGAAAGAGAGAGAGAGAGAGAGAGAGAGAGAGAGAGAGAGAGAGAGAGAGAGAGAGAGAGAGAGAGAGAGAGAGAGAAAGAAAGAGACAGGTGGATAGGCCTAATGTTCATTGACATGCATTATATCTGATATGATAAGAAACCTGACATGCTTATTTACATAGCTTTTCGAGAGCTTGGGACTATAAGGTTCTATCTGCAAAACATATAATTCTCAGATAAATGGTTTTAAAAGTGCCGATCCCTCATTGGTTTGAATGGCGCTTATCAATATTGATCTTGTATTCTTTTGAACTTAACAACATGACTTGGGATATTTATATTATTTTGAACTTAACAACATGACTTGGGGTATTTAGAGTGTTATATAGGTAGAGAACATTGGGTTTCATCGAGGAACCTCCTAAATTGGTGGGGGTTCTTGCAGGAACCTAACTGCCCAACTGAAACATTTGGATTTGAAAGGCCAGCAGGTGCAGGCAATTAACTGAAAAATGTAAAGATCTCCTCAATTTAAGGTAAGGTTTGTCCCTTGTATGTTCTAAATTGATATTGTTTTATGATGATACCACCTATCTTCTGATATTTGTGAAAATCTTTCTAAAACAGAAAATGGACTAAATTCAATGGATATCAATCAACAAAGAGGTAAGAATATGTAGGCTATAAGAATATGTTGAAAGTTAGCTGTATTGGGTGCAGATTACTGAACTGCTCCCTTATGTGTCTGTGTCTGCAGGTATACAGATGAGGAGGCATACAAAGGTGTGTCTATTGGTATGTTATGCAGATCACATTTACCATCCTCCTCCCTTACCTCTTCAATGAATATCCCATAGGCCTCTACATTATGGACAAGATATGTGTATGAAAACCATTATCAAAACAGTTTTTTAAATTCACATTCACCACAAAAAACAATATATGAATTCTGTCGTGTGCATGTTTTGTTAATCATCTGTATAATTACTATTTTTTGTATTCACAGACTTCACCCTCCCTACACCTCTGATGAATATAACAGGAAACCTGTTTGATCACCATGCACTGCAAAATCATTCTGGCTATGGATACGGAGAACATCAAAACATTAACATCAACATGCCAGAGGATATACCCATTGGACGTGGGGCTCTGCTGGGAGTTTACCTCATATTTAGATTTTTAATTCTGCTTTGCCGCTAAAATCATATAAACACTGAGAACTAAAATATTGTGTTATTGTTGTTATTGTTGTTATTGTTATGCTTTTTTTTTGCCCAAAGATTATTCAAAAGGTTCTTAGAGGATCCATTAAAGGGGTTCTTTGAATAACCCTTTTAAAGGGTTATTCGAATAACTTATAGGGGTTCCCCCACAGTTTCAATTTGAAGAACCTCTAAAGGATACTCCAGGAACCTTTTCTTTTTAGAGTGTGTATTGTCTGTACCTCTCCTGGGAATGTAGATTTGATCAGTGTTCTACACATACACAAATACACAAGCATGCTGACACAAGCATGCATGCATTAACACGCATACTAGGGCTGTCCCCGACTAAAACACATCTTGGATACGGAGAACATCAACACATTAACATCTTGGTCGAACAAGAGTCGTCTGTTCTTTCGACAAAATCTGGTCGAAATTTTAAGACGTGTATTTTTCCATATATTAACACATCCTATGTGTTAATCAAATCAACTATATTCACTGAGCTTGTCTGATGCTTTAAGCACACTGTTTGATTAAATAATTAAGACACACAAATGACTAGAGGGAGTCCGACCAGCAATTGATTTGATTGTTTGTGCAGGGCCGGGCTCAGACTTGATGCGCTGTTTAAAAAATAATAATACAGTGAGTGACTGTGTGACTAGCACCCGTTGTCCCTCTCGCCTTGCGGCAGCGACCACCACAGAACATCAGTGTTTATCGCGCTGTCCATGTTGCTGAAGCTGCAACATAATAACAGCCATTTCTGACTGAAAAGTTCAGTAACCAAAATCCCTAATTTCTTTAGGAAAAACATTCCTTATTCCTTCAACCCTTGCTCTCTTTACGAGACACATGTATGCATCGCATGCACGTGACCAAATACTTATTCGCACTGGACAATAATTAATAGAGAATGTTGGTTATGTAATTATTACTCCAGAATGTCCGTTATTCCAGAGGACGATTCGGACGGGATAATATTTTTTCAAACTGCCCCCTGTAATTCTTAAAAAATGTATTTATACAATTGACATTTATGCTGGAAGCCTGGAGGTTTTTAATCTTGGCGTGAAGATACAGTATTTCAACATGTCCAGGTGATAGTGCCACGCTGATAACTTGGGCTTGGTTCCCAAGTTCCTAAACCATACCAAACCATCTTTGGTATAGTGTCGCCATAATATTTGAATTGAGGAAGTGTGATCATAATCATTAGGATATTTTAGCGATCTGCAGTACGTCCTAAATGCCGCAAAGCCTTCAGATGTGAGCTAAACAGTGCACTTGCACTTGAGATGCGTTTTAAGGCTATGGATGAGAAAGTTAATTTATCATTTCCAAACGTTTAGGTCAGTTGTATGCTGCTTTGCGATCTATTAACAGCAAGGGTTGCATTAAATAGGCTCAATATTTTTTACTGATGCATTTGTCAATATTTAATTAATATGCACAAAACATATAAACAAAAGCATTCACTGTGAAAGTTCATAGGCTACATGTAGGCCATTTATATATAGTTTATGCGTAGCACTTAGTTCAATTTATCGAATCAGTTATTGTTTTCTTGCGCAAACCGCGAGCAACACTTGTTAAACTCAGACATTTCTCTCAAAACACAGGGATGTCGATTCGCATGGGACTAGTATTATCAGAGGACCTTGAAGTTTGCCAAAAAAAAGGTTATTCTGCCTGGAATTGTTAATCTCCTGCCATGTAAAAATTACTGACATGGCAGATTCGGATGGGACTAAAATTACAGATGTGGTGTTTTGTGCTCTTGCACATAATTACATTACCTGACCACCCCCAGTAAAACTAATCCTGTCCGAACAGGGCAGCATATCATAATCACATCAATAAATTGGTTATAACAAACTCTGAACACCGTAACACATTACAGCAAAATGGATGCATAGGACATGACAAATAAACTAGAAATGGGGGAATGTTTACTGGTTGCTCAGGAGGTAAAGGGAATGTCAGATGTGTGGAATAAATTTGACTAGTTGTGGAAAATACATGAGATCAAGAAAAATAAGGGAGCGCTGCGTGCATATTATGTGTGCCAAATAGGTGCTGTATATTACAATATAATTTTTCTGACCATTTGGAACAATATAAACACTAAATAAATTATAAGCGTACCAGAGAGTCTGTTGTAATATTTTTTTTGCTAAGCCTTTATTACAGCAAAGACTAAAAACAGTCGCATTCATTCGTGAATGCAATTTCAAAAATGGAATGGTTTATTTATTGTTTAAGCTAATTAGTCAAGGCTCTCTTTATTGTATTTTAAAACTAAAATGCTTGATTGCATTTCAAATCATGAATGACTCGTATGCTGTGTGATGACATGAACCAATGAATGATTGATTGATACAGTAGCCTATATAAGTTTTGAAATATAGGCCTAAGTAAGTTACGGTATTAAGACTAAAAAGGATGTGCTCTTAGGCTTACAGCTCAGTGGTGGTTATACAAGAGTATGTGGACAACTACAAATATCTAGGTGTCTG